TACACGAAGTATTATCATGTCCTTTATTAAATATGGAAATATCTTCCATTATACGTCTGTACATGATGCCGTTTACAATCAAATTGTAGCAATTTTAACTATATTACCAATTACTCATAAGACATGGAATTGTAGAAAACAATGTTTTAAAATATTAACAAAGAATTTCAATGTTTAAATATTTGTAATAACGATCATTCAGGATGGGGAGAGGGTGGGTTTCGTATACATAACCTATTTATATCAACCATTTAAAATTCATTCAGCATCATCGTTAGTTCTGCAAAATACAAGTCGATAATAATAGTTGTCTCTAGTACTCCCAGTTGCCCCGAATCCTGAATTCTTCTTCATCTTGTTTTACTTCTCTCTTCAGAAATTGTTCTTTTCTTCAAGCACTAAGCCCTATCCAGTAAAATTTTATAAGCACATGGCTGTAACATTTACTATTTAGAAACAGCTTTGCTTATGTGAACCAGTTTATGTAACATTCATCCATTTTGTAGAGCAAAGTACCCTTAAGTTTAAGTGATTACATAAATACACTTTTAATGATTGAGTAGTTGGCAGTGTTTTGAGAGTGTATTTGCCTGAAAGAAAGCAAGAGGTTGTATGGTGCCACCTCATAAAAACTGGATGTTTCTGTGGTGTCCGAAAGTGAGTTAACCCTATCAAATGAAATTACTTTTATTTCAAATTTCTCCATATAAAAATATTATAGTTCAAGAAAAAATATAGAAGCAAATAACAGCACTAAATGTACTTATACCGGCATTAAGTTTATTTACATAAGGAATTTGAAGGCTATGTAGACAAGGATATTGCGTTCCCCAATTCAAATCATTAAATAATTTAACACAACCGTTTGGTCTTGCAGTAGATGGTTTGTTAACATTTGGTTCAAACATGTAAAATAAAGTCAAAAGGTTGTTAAATTTTGTTGATCGATAAGATATACCATGAAGAGACGAAATCTAAAAAGGATTAAAATTATTCACTTTCTTCTTTGATATTTCGATTATGTACATCGAGCCTTTTTACTAATTAGTAAGAGTCACAAACTATATTATTTATTTGATTAGAATAATTAGCCAAAGCGTTCCTCTGATGCACATGTGGGAACGATACTGACGCTTAATATCATTTCATCACTCAGGTAATTTTTTTACACCGGTAAGGCCTAGCCTTAAGCTTAATTCAACTTAATCCCATCTTAATTCAACGTAATCCACCTGGTTGGGCATTGAAAGGAACCTTACAATTCTTATGAGTCAATAGAGCAACGGCTGCCGTACCGGTCCACCCAAGCATACTTCGAACGTCCGTTGGCCTACGCATTAAATTACTACTTTTGAATTTCCCGCTCAACAAATTTCTGAAACAGGCACCTGAATTTCTCTATTTAGTGCGTACTTTATTTTCTGGATTTGATTATAGATGCTTTGGAGATATAGTTATTTTAGTACTGAATTACGTTTTTTTCAATCTGCGGGATTTAGCGGTAAATCACAATCAGCTGATTTGTGTTGTTGTTTACTGTTGCCTGGAAACCTGCCAGCTGATCGGCCCGCGGTTGGAGGATTTATTCATTGCCTAGTAATTCATACTCGTTTGTTTGTTTGTTTCTTTCTTTTTTTTGCTTCGTAATGGGGAGGCTGCCATTAGTTATATTTTTGGGCTTCCTGAATGCTACGCCTTTTTGGACACATTTGAACATGATAAAATTCAATGATGGCTTTATAAATCACTTCTCAGACAACCTCTAAAATTAATGCATTGCCATGATATTAATAAAACAACATAGTGCTACTACGAACACCAAAAACACTTACATACAAATTATTTTTCTCTGCCTGATTCGCTCTGGAGATATAGAATTAAATACCAGCCTGTTTCAACGTGAAGCGCTTCGTCAAAAGGGTATGTTGTTTATTCACCTTAATGTGCGGTCACTAACGTCCAAGATTTCTCAGATACGGGAGTTAATTCGACAATCGAATGTCCAAGTGTTTTCCGTTACTGAATCTTGGCTCGACGACAGCGTATCAGATAATGAAATCCACTTAGAGGGCTTCACTGTTCTAAAGAGAGATCGCAATAGGGATGGAGGAGGGGTATGCGTTTACATCAAGGATAGCTTATCCCATCGATTACGTAATGACTTAAACCATGAAAATCTCGATGCTATATGGATCGAGGTAATGCTTCCGATACGTAATTGTTCCTGTTTATTTTCTTGTCTGTTAAACGCATACGAATATCACCAATTTTGCTCCTCAATACAATCTTCCGATGTATCTTTAAAACACTTTAATCTAGTTTCATTAATATAAAAAAGGTTACATTAAAATCTTTAAATAAATGCAGGAGCTCGACTAATATATACCTATCGTCAACTCCCCCAGGTCCACTGGTAGACAACGCCCTCAACTATATCGTTTTTAATTACTAATTTGTAAATAAATATGAGGTAAAATGATCGGACGTATTATGTTAAGGGCAGGCTATCTCGAGATACATCTTCACCTTTATGAAGGAGCGAATGACCAGTCTACATATCTTTAGCCAATGCTTACATAAAAAAAAACCAAAAAAATAAAAACAACAACCTTGAGCCAGTCAATTAGAGCGTCAAGATACACCAACAGAGGTCCTAAGTTAACGAAGTGAAATTTCTAGGGTAATTTTTCGTTTATTAAAATGAAATTTCTAGGTTTATTTGTCGTTTATTGAAAGACACATCTGCACCTTTATGAAGGAGTGAATGACCAGTCTATCAATCTTCGGTCAATGTTTAGAAAAACAATTCTGCAGTAATATTAGCTTAATCGGGACTTGAGCCAGCCCATTAGAGCGTCAAAACATTCTGATGTCGACAAATCACCTATGAATTGGATTTTTTTGGTGTGAGATACAACAACAGAGGTCCCAAGTTAATGAAGTGAAATTTCTAGGGTAATTTGTTGTTTATTGAAATGAAATTTCTGGGTAATTTTTTGAGGGACTTTTAAACCTATGTAAATTTAACGTGTGTAATATCTTTAGTAAAACCCATAAAAAATATTTAACATAAAAATTAGTAATCCGCTAAGGTGCAAACAATAAGTCATTTTCAGGTTTATTGATCTTAGGTGTTGATGCAAAGGCATGGGGTTGTTTAAATTACCTAATGTTAAATAACATAATGTTTGAAAGAGAAAAATGTTGTTTAATTTTTGATGATATACACTTAGGAGCCATTTTGATATTCACTAACACAATTCTATATTTTCTGGGAAAAACTGTAAAATTCTGGGAACCGGGGTGTATGCACCAAGGATGGTACACGAAAATTATAAGATTTATTTCTATTAGGGACATTTTAGTGGTAAAATTGGGCGGCACACAATCCCCTACTATTTTCCGAAGAGTGAACTGCGTTTTTAAAACCTGTGCATAGGGCATATTTCACACTGGACCAACGCTTAAACGTCCCATCCGACAGACGGTGCGGCATTGAAACTTGCATTTCAAACCTCAAACTGAAACACAAGGAAAACATTAGGTAATTATTAATTATAATGATTAGTAATACTGTTTTGAAGAAGTAGTGTTCATTCAAGTTTCAATATTGTCATCGCCAGGATTATTCATATTATTGTAACTTTCTATTTTTGGCACATTCAATTTTTGGTACATTTTATTTGTTGTTCTGGCAACATTAAAGTTACCAGGAGGCATGGGGTCAATTACAGTGGAAATGTAATCAATTACATCTTCACCGTTCTCACGAAGAGACACAAACTTCAATTTCGACCAAAACAGCGTTTTGAGAAAAACGCGTTTGAAGTGGACTAAAAAACCGTTTATTTCACTATCAAGATATCAAAATTTCAAATATTTTTTTTTACATTGTGTTTAAAGATAAAGCATTAAACAAGTCAAATGTTATTTTTCTTTTCTTAATTTTCATTACCCCTATGGCATGAACAGTTTGTGTTTGTTTGTGAAAACGTTCAGGAAAAAAAACCAGCATAGGCCTATGTTGTTACACATACAGTGAAGCTAAGCATTATCTAGCCGATCATAACGATTGCAAAGTGTCTGTGAAAACGAAAAATACATTTTTTCTCGGTTTGTGCGCTATGGCTAATTAGACTAATTAACTAAATAATATACAGCAGTATAACTTTTAAAAACTATCCGAAATGGTAGAGTTCGATGTACATAATCGATATTTTAAAGAAAAAAATGATTTTTTTTTTTTAAGGTTTGTGTCACTTTGTAGTGTCTGTGACGACATATCGCAATTACTAAAGTTTTACAAATGACAATTATAATTACTTTATTTTTATTACAATCACATTTACGATTACATTTTCTCAATTACGATTACACTTACAATGGCATTTAAATTAATTTTAATGTTCTGACACAATCACATACAGTATATTAAAAAAAAAACATAATTTCAATCAATCGCACTTATACTAATACTTGGCCGTATACGTCGATTTCGACGATGTTGTTAGAAAAATTTAGAAGAATTTCTCCTAGTGGTACTATTGATGAACTCTGCAAGGTGGGTTCGTTCAATTCTCAAGGCAGAATTGTTTTTATGGAGTAACTACAGAGTTACCAATAATAATACCTTTGGCTTCAGTAAAGGAATACGGTGCAATTTCTTTCTGGTAAGTTAATTTCAATAAAAGTAAACAAATATAGAAATAAAATATGAAAACATAATACTATACAAATAAACAAACCCTAACTGTTTAAACTGTTGGTCATATTAAGCATGTGGAATTACTGGAGGACTTTTTAGTATTGGGAAAGAATAGTTTGATATTTTACACCATAGTGTTCCAATAATCTATGAATGATTAACTCTATTGTAGGATATAATAGAATAGGTCGTAACAGCCGTCTTGAAGAAAGACACTTTTGGCAAATTTTGGATAACGTTAAGCTTTAATTAAGATGATAAGATGGTAAGGTGAGACTTTATTATACCTTGTCATCATTATTGGCGTAAACCATCAGTTTACAGCAAAAATGATAGAAACACTTCCAGTCACTGGAAGTGTTTTATTATTTTATTATATTTTTTTTGGTTTAAAAATCAGGGTACACATGTTTTAAATTCAATAATTTTTATGTACAAGGATTGCCAATATGGACTTCTGTTGTGAATTTGTCACCTTTGGCAATCTCGTCAGGATTTTTTTTTTTACAAAGTACTGTTGGATAATTTTCTACGCTATAGTATGCTGGTGACAAATCAATTATTTTTGGCATTGACCATAAATATATATATATATATTTTAAATTCCAAATCATCATTATTGGCGGGCGGCGGGTTCGCTAAACCTTGGCTAAACAAGCTTTAAAAAAAAGTCTCGCCAAATAGATATTAAATTTGAAGAAGAAACACTTAAAGATGTATTGTCCCATGCTAAATACCGAAAAAAAAATCATAAAAATATTTTTTTGAAATTAACTTGCCTATTTGAAATAACATAAAAGTTATCAACTTGAACATAGAAATTAGTATTTAATAAATATCTAACCATCAGTTTACAGCGAAAATGATAGAAACACTTCCAGACACTGGAAGTGTTTTATTATTTTATTATATTTTTTTGGTTTAAAAATCAGGGTACACATGTTTTAAATTCAATAATTTTTATGTACAAGGATTGCCAATATGGACTTTTGTTGTGAATTTGTCACCTTTGGCAATCTCTTTTACAAAGTACTGTTGGATAATTTTCTACGCTATAGTATGCTGGTGACAAATCAATTATTTTTGGCATGGCCTGAGATGTTTGATAAACATGTATATTTTGTTATTGCTTATATACAAAGTAAACACATAGATTAAGACATTTCGCATCTGATTTACATTTTACAGGTCCTTCTTTTAATTAATAAAGATGGCTTCAATACGTAAAACATGTTTACTGTGGGCAGCAATTGTCCAGGCGTTGGGATCACAATTATTAGGAACGTCGCTTGTTGCTGGTGTTAATAGTACCTATATATTTGACTATTTCAATGATGAAGACAAATCTGAGACAGACCGGAATACTACCATGTCAAATCGAAACAACGACCAGTATAATATTATGAGAAAGATCGTATCTAGATCAGGGTATTTTCTGAGGATTGGACCTGATGGACGTGTTAGTGGTACAAGTAACTGTAGGGACGTATATGGTTGGTTTTCTTCATTTTTCGATAGTCAACGGTTTGAACTTACAACCAAATGGACGTGAGTTCGAGCTGTACATTGCGTATGTCCTATTTGAAAGAGTTGATGTCTACGTTTCTATCATTACATGCTTTTTAATGAGAAAAATGATTGTAGGCCTACGATGTACATGGTTTTGGAATTACAGGCCTAATGATAATATTTTGCTAAAACTGGTGCATGATATAAACAAAGCAGGGAATATTGTCATGCTGCATAGATTATCTCATCGCCTTGTTTTACAAAATGTATGCAAAACAACCTCAATTCAATAATTCACTGCTATTGGTTGTTATTTCCAAGCATTATTTTTTCCCATATAGTTAAGGCAGAGATTATAGAGGGCGATATTTAAGGTCAGTTAGATGAACTGATATGATTTGAATATGCATACTGGACTTCCCCCTCTTAACTTAACAAAGACCTAAAAATATTGCACATTTAAAATTTCTAAATTCAACAGTTAGTATTAGATCTTCGTATATCCTTCAGAATCAGTAGGCCTACTACTTGGGGGCATACAATTGTCGCAACACACATATCGAGACCTATCTATACCAGGGAGATGTACTCTCCCTGTTTATTCTATAGGCCTGTATACTGTACTCAAATAGCCAGATTCAATATTATTGTATGCTTTTTTATACTTTCAAAGACATTGTCTTGACTAACTAAGAGATTTGCGCTTTTCCGTAGCTTTCATCTACGCACTTACTGTACTCGATACACCCAGCACATAACACTGCTCGCAAGAGAGGGGTCTGGTATGCATTATTCATGTACTGTATGTCAGTTCGCCTAACTCACCAAAAATAGCACCCTCTATAATTTCTGCCTTAAAGGTATGGAAAAAAAATAATGTGATCCGGAGAGTCAATTACATATCAAGTAGATATTAATGAACTGTAGTATGAATACCATGTATGATAATTTAAAATTAAAATAGTACCGTACTGTATTATATGAATTAACATGGCGATTTTTTTTTCAGTATACGTGACAACATTTGTTGTTGGACCTAATTTACTCATCATCCGAGGTACTGAAACTGGTCTTTACTTAGCAATGAATGAGAATGGAAAAGTCTCAGCAAGAAATGTAAGCTTGATCTAAACATCTCTAATGTACTATTTGGCGAGAGTTAAAAACATGTTTTAATTTCTCATCTGCATATATAGGCCATAGGTCGACAAACGAATAAAAAAAAAGTAGTCATTATCATTTTTATTTCATTGCATATCCAAAGGCCTATACAGAACTCTTTAAATGCAAACGAGTGAAAAAGAGTGAAAGAGTGAATACAGGGACCACTCGTGATGGAGTGAAATAGAAAGAGTGAGATTTCACTCTATTCAAGACAATTCATCAGAAGGACGGACATCAAAGGTTATAACTCTGGCATTGACATTCTAGGCGCACATGCGTTCCTACACGCTGAACGTCACAAAAACCATAGCAACCAGACCATAAACCGTCACCGTACGTGACGATTTACCCACGCGCGTGTTAGTTGCCATGATAATCGCGCGTCGTGTGGTGATTACAAAGACTAATGATATTTTGCACTAACATTAGACCATGGAGGTATTATTGAGAAGGAGATCACTCGGCAAAGCTACGCACACGCAGCGCTATGCCTGTCTCTTATACACATCTAGATGTGTATAAGAGACAGATTTAAGGTCAGTTAGATGAACTGATATGATTTGAATATGCATACTGGACTTCCCCCTCTTAACTTAACAAAGACCTAAAAATATTGCACATTTAAAATTTCTAAATTCAACAGTTAGTATTAGATCTTCGTATATTGACGAATTAACGATAAATGAAAAAAATTCCAATCCATTCCAATAATTACGCGAGCACGGATTTTACCCGAGCACGCACGTGCGCAAATATTCGATTATATATGAATTCTAATACGCTGTCCGTACTAAGTGATGTTAATTATAAAATAATTTAATTGTAAACCCAATTAAGTGTGTGAAATTAATATGCAGTGTACGTAACTCATATACTTTGCATGTGTTCATCGTGAAGATCATGGCACAAAATGGACGGTGTGTACCGCGTGACTTTCGCAAACCAAGGGGCGGAATGTCGCTGGAAGTCCCCGACTGAGTTGCAAGATGCGGCGGTGTTTAAAAAAAAAAATGATGTATACACATTTAATATAATATAGGCCTATAAAAAAATTTAGCCACATTTAACCCGTAAGCAGCTTATTCCATGCACTATCTAGCTTAGAATTTGGGAGAGTCTGTCCTCGAATAATTAAATAATTTCATCAATCTCTTTTTAAATAGGTTCAATTTAAACAATGTTTGCAGTTGACAGTTGGCAATTCCTGAAAGTATATTTTTAAGATTGTTTTATTTTTTCTTCGTGCATAGAGTTCATTCTTACAGTGGTACATTTTTAAATTCTATAAACTTGATTTTATATCGTGTTAAAAATGTGCAATTCGGCGAATCGGCCTCTCAACATGGTTGTTCAGCTGTTGGCCTTTCCCGTCATCAGAAACTGTTTATGTCATTATTATTTTATTGTATATTTGCCTGTGTCAAGTCGAATAAATAAGTAAATAAAATAAATATTTGTAAAAAATGATACAATACTATTGTCACTCATGTATATTCTACTCTTAAAACTATATAGACCTACATATTTCCTCAGGTAGGCCTTCTCGTAAAAGGACGGTACGGAGTTACAAGAAACGTAAAAATAGAACTTCAGTGTCAAGCCTCAATGCATTATTGTAGCATAACTTAACATATTTTAATACGCCTGTGTACTATACATTGTTAAAGATTCTATGTTGGCAAATTTACAACGAAACATAAAATATCAACACCAGAAACGATGATTGCTTTACAAGCAAATTTTATTCACTGATTATGGAATGCATATGCACATCCGTGGAAGATAGTCGTAGATATACAACTACGTATCATATAAACAAATAGTCAGTGCCAGACACCCTTTTTTCCACATAATTTTAGTATGACCTTTTCGTTAAAGAGCTATGCATGATCGAGTATAACATCTTAATTTTCTATATGAGTTATTATTGTTTATCAATGTTTACTTGCACCAATGAGGTTATGTATTCTCTGTCTATCTGTGCGTCTGTTAGCACGATTTCGCAAAAATCTAAGGAATGGATTGTCATAAAATTTAGTGGAATGCTACATAATAATCTAAGAGAGATATTGATAAACTGTTTGGTAGAAAAGACTAAAGGAAAAGGTCATGGTCACAGAAATTCGATTTCTCCCCTTAAACTTACCCTTAAGCAAGAAAATAATGGGATTGTCATAGTCGGCCTGCCGAGGTATGCATGCACTCAGTGGAGTAACTGCCAGTAAATATTTTGTTTGTTTTTAATTCAGGAAATATTGAACTTAAATATATTTTTGAGGCACCAGAAAAGTTTCTGGGTAGTACAATTTTTTTTTTATAGTGGGAAGACTAGGGAAACATTCGAGATGATTAAAATAAAGATCATAGGAATTATTAACAATATTGATGGTAGTCTAATTCGTAATGAGTTTAAACTTAGAGTGTATAACCAGTTTGCTGTCCCATCACTTAGGTATCATTTAACTGTACATGAAATTACAGATACACAATTAAGTGACCTAGATCACATTCATACGAATGCAATTAAGAAATGGTTAGGACTTTCCATAAATGGATCTACGCCAGCTTTTTCTATTTAGTACTGAGGGTTTCTCAATGCCTCTGCTATCTGATGTTTATCGAGAGTCTCATTCTCTGGCATACGCCAGATGCATGGTTAAAGCAGATAAGAGAGTTCATGCTCTTAAATGTAAACTGAATCGTGAATCTCAATGGTCTAAAAAAATGGTAGGAAGTGGCATGAAACTTATACTTCAACTAGTTTAAATGTACAAGACAAAAACTGGTCCCAAATTAAATCTAATGCTAAACAAATTATATATAAAGATCGAATTCAATTTCAAATTCAAAAAACGATTATATCAAGCCACTTCTTCAACAAGGTACCGTAACCTCCTGAAATTACTACATCTAGAATCATGTGATTTAACATGGAGATCCTTAATATTCTATCTTCCACGAGGAGTTTTAAGTTTTGCTGTCCGTTCCTCAACCGACTTCTTGCCATGTTTAAGCGATTTAAGAAATTGGGGAAAATGAGTCAACGACAAGTGCAAGATGTGTGGAAATGTGGATACCCTTAACCATGTACTTAACTCCTGTAACATTTCTCTTGAGCAAGGGCGACTCACATGGAGACATAATAGTATACTCCGCCATCTCGTTAAGTTCTTCTCCGAATTGAATAATGAAGGTATGCTTCCTGGATACTCTAACGGTGGAGGGACTGTTCCATCCGATATTCATATTACAAATTTAAAGCCCGATATGATTATTCTGAATGATAATGAAATTAAAATAGTTGAATTAACAGCCCAATTAGACCAATAATAAAAAGGCACATGGGAGGAAAACTGTTAAGTGTAGCCAGTTAATTGATGATCTTAAAGCAAAGGGTTTTCAATGCGAATTATTTTGTATAGAAGTGGGAAGTAGAGGGATCATAACACCAAATAACGCAAAGAGATTAAAATATATATTTAACACTAATGAAAAAAAATGTAAAGTGCTAAAGAAAAGCCTAAGTAGAATTGCTATTTTAACCACAATATGGAACGCCCGTCATAACACCATGTGGGATGACACTTCACTTGTGGAAGTTTAAGAAAATTGGTTAACTGAAATTTAAAATCAGTTTACTCAATCAAGTATTGTTTTGTGAATTGTCCGTAAAGTTTGTTTTACCCTGCAAGTATCTGAAATTTTCAGTTATTGACCTGGGTTTTTATGTACATTCTTTTGTAAATTTATATGAGACTTGTAATAAAGAATGATGAGAGAGATTGACTTAATGCTTAATATTTATTTACTTTTTTAGAACACAGAGTCAAGAATTCTCAGCCAACAAAATGTTGATATGCTCTGGCGTGAAAAATTCAAACCTCGTTCGTGTTTTGTGTCCTTTCAGTCATACAGAGCTGTCCAGAATAGGTCTACCGGCCTAGGCGAAAAGTCTACTGGGCCTAGAAAACGGACTAATGGCGAACGATCTATCGAACGTGACCGCTTTCTCTCAATCACTAAAGGCGGTCGCGTTACTACATCTACATCAGACACGCAGTTTAAAAGTAATTTCTTCCTTATATCTTATAAATCTCAAAATTAAAGATACTTATTTTTCTTGTGTTTATTTATTTATCTTTTTGCTATCTATTTAATGCTATTCTTACTGTGTGTGCAATTTATATATTCATTTGTTGGTTTGTTTTTTTTTTTTTTGTTTTTTTTTTTGTTATTAAGTAATATTTGATAAGTTTTAATTGTTCTAAAAATTTTACTCTAATCATCCTAATATGTTTGTAACGTGCTTAATAGGTTATAACATAACTACTACAAATGGTATAAAGTATTAATTTTCGTTTATCTTTGTGTTGATTGACCTATTGTTTCATCAGTGGACGAATCGTTCATAGGATGGTCGCATTACTGTATCTTTACCCAATTTCACAGTAATTTTGTTCTTCATATCGTAGAAATCTCAAAATTAAATATACTGATTTTTCTTGTCTTTATTCGTTTTTGCTTTTGTTTTTTGGGGGTTTTTTTGTTTGTTTGTTTGTTGTTTATTTTTTTTCTGTTTTTTTTTTTTTTTTTTTTTTTTTTTTTTTTTTTTTTTTTTTTTTTTTTTTTTTTTTTTTTTGCTATCTATTGTGTGTGCTTTTTATACCATTTATTTAATTTTGTCATACAAATATATTTGATCTGGTTTAAAGTAAACTTTTATTCCAACTTACTTAATAATTATGTTTGTGTGTTGTGTTAACTTTGCCTTGCTCTGTGTGTATTAAGGTTGTAAAATGACCACTTCCAAGATACACAAATGACATAAAGCATTATCATGACTGTATTACCGTATTATTCGAATAAATGCCCTCCTCGAATATACTTCCTTCCAGATCCACATTTGGAATAAACGCCTCCCTCCGATAACACGATTATTCTGTCTTTGAATAAGCACGCCCTCTAATGACTGTAAACAAAACTAATGGTAGTAATATAATTCTCAATTTTATTAATGTTCTATTCCAGTAGATTTACACTTGCTCTAACCTGGTTAGGATCAGTAAGTCTTTCGTCAGTAATTATGGTGTAGTTCCACATTTACAATGAAATTAAGGGATGTTTATTTGAGTCCGTATCCATTTTACACTCCCTCAAAAACCCTTCTCATCAATATAGGCCTACGCCCCAGGGCGTTATTCGAACAAATGCGGTAATTTTGGTTTATATTTGTGTTGATTGGCCTATCATTTCATCAATGATCAATCGTCATTACACACTAATAAATAATTCTTGGGTATCTGATCAGCTTAAAGTACTGGTATAATTTCATTAATTCAACACAAAGGACTTTTCTGCTCCATCCTATTCATTGAATATTGTTGGAGTGTGTCGACAATACCAAGGGCATATTCATTTCATCTTATACAGCTTCGTTGATTTCGAAATTTACTTTAGTATATACCGTTTTGTTAGTAAAAAACTTTAAAATGGTTCTAATAGTAATACAGTAGATAGAGAAAATCAGTTGCACTGATTATTTTGGTGTCCTGTAGGCCTACTAGTAAGCGAATGAAGCTAATTTGTGAAATAGAGATGGTACATTTTATCGGTGGCGTATTTAGGAGTCTTAAAATGGGGGATGGATGCTGATAGGAGGTGGGTGCGAATGTGGAGTGAAGGGGGAGGAGAATGCGTTCAGGAGGGGATGGCAACTGTTTACACGTGGGTAGAGACGCCGCTGAATATGATCTAATCGCTGATGTATGTTCTGTTATACCCATGAATGGCTAATACATTTATGCTCTTACTTAAATTTAGGAACTTCTCGCCTTTCCCGAGGCTGTGAGGTACTGGGGAGGGTCCAACATTTGCAGAATGAATGAAATAAGTTTTAATGAAAAAATAAACGAAATAAGTTTAAATGACTTGGGAGACCGTCTTTTGTCTTGTTACCCTCCCATCGTTTGAGCGATGTAAAAGCCAACAATAATTAGCCTGAAATTTATTCTCATGAATGACACTCCCCCACACCTAAAGAAGAAAAAAACTGTTGACTATTTACACTTTTTGCCAACTAAAAAGCACTCTACAGGGGCGGATCCAAAGATGTCCGATAGGGGGACCAAAAGTGGGGTCCATCGAGGTAACGCCACCCTACAGGGTCCAGGGGCATGCCCCCGCGACATTTTTGTTTTCCAGACGCCCGGAAATGACCTCTGAGGCGTTTTGGGCTATCTTTTTTTTTTTATTACTTTCCAAAAAGCCCGGCTCCACCCCACCCCCACCCCTAAATCCGCCTCTGCTCTAACATGTTAAGGGTGGTGAGAGGACCGACGTCGGCGACCATTTCCCTCTATGGATTCGCCCAAACAATAATCATTCTGGTTCATTTTTACTTTATAAATTAACAACATGAGCCAATAATAATTTTGTAGGCCCTATATAATGTTAAAGCAGGTAAGATTCTAAGCCTACTGGTAAAGAATATGGTAAACAATAGATTATACAATACAGGGCCGCCGGAACGTTTTTCAAACTTATAAGCAGGCGCGTAACAGGGGTCTTGGGTCGGGGGGGG